AACGTAAAATGTGATGATTTTGGATCAGCCCAACACGTGAGCAAAGCGAAGAAAAACATCGAAAAAGAGAAAATACTCAAAAACTAGTGTTTAAATTAACCTTTTTGGACTAATTAAAAATAAGGAAAATGAAATTTTACATATAAAAAACTCAAATTATCACTAAAAGCTTACAACTCTAACATTAACCCTAATGTCCTAATCCTAAACTTTCTTAGTTTATTTACAAATACGATTTCCTTTTTTGGTTTGTATTACTGGCGCAAATAAGTAAATTGCCCTAGTTAATCCCTTATCTCTAAGAGGTTTAGTCTAAACAATACCCCAGGACCAGTGCCATCCAAGTTCCATTCTACAGCATCATCGAAAGCTTCTGTTATATCTCTACTTGGGTCCTCTCAAATAGGTTTTTGGTTATTCCAGCTTTCTAGAATTTATATGATATTAACTTATCATAGTGTTTGCACTTAATAATTACCAGAATGCATTCCTCTACGTAATCTGTATACAGATGCAGAACCTATACTCTACTACTTTGTAATAGCTTATATTTATTCAAGAATGGTGTTATCTAAAATTACAGGTCAAAGATCCAAGCCATTTTTGAGATAGTTATTAACCTTATATTTGAAATTGTTATCTGTAGGATTTGAACACTAGATCTGCTACTTGGTAAGGTGATGACTAGACCACTTCACTAAGTCACTACACCTTAGTAAAATTTTTGAATTTGAAGTTTTTTAATAAAAATTTTTTTTTTACCAAGTAAAACTTTTTTCAACTTCTAATAAAGGTTGTAGAGGAGTGTTTTGCAATTGGAATAGTGGTTAAAATATTAAAATTGGCCTAGTAGATTATAAAATATAAGTATTTTTATTATCACAATTTTATATTTTTTTTTATATGAATAAAGAAAAAAGCATATAGGAGGCTGCTAGTAAAAACCAAGCAAATTGTTTTTAAGTAAATTTTTTTAAAACTTTAAAATAAAATATTTCAACAACTATTAAACCAAACTTGATAAAAATTTTTTTATTTTAATTTGGATTTTTCTATATATCTTTAGCCAGAAATATATAACTTATATATCTTTGACCTATTAGCCAATTAAAACAAACAAAGGTTATATAACCTGTTTTTTGGCTAGTTGAAAAATTTTGTATAATTTAAAATCTGACCTAACTTTTCGAACATGAAAAATTGGCCAATTAAATTCAATTATACAAAAAAATAGTTATTTTTTTTTTTAAAAACACAATACAAAAACAAATCCAAAAAAAAAAATCCAAAAACAAAATATTTAAAAGCAAATACCAAAAAATTTTATAATATCAAAAATACTAAAAGTGCTTAAAAACAAACACTAAAAAATTCATCACACAACATCAAAGATATTCAAGAACAAATATACTATACAATACCAAAAGTATCCAAAAACAAATGCTAGAGAATTTGCTATACAATACCAAAGGTATTTAATGACAAATATCAGGAAATTTACTACAAACAACACAGTGCTAAAAGTGAAATGCCAGAGAATTCATCACACAATGCCAAATCAAAAACAAACACCAAAGAATTTATTACAACATCAAAAGTGTTTAAAGACAAATACCAGAAAATTCATTCAAAAATATTCAAAAGCAAATACCAAAAAAAAAAAATATTCAAAAAAACTATATATCGACAAAAATGCCAAAAGTGCCCAAAGACAAATACCAGAGAATTCACTACACAATACCAAAGATGTTTAAGAACAAATATACCACACAATGCTAAAAGTACTTAAGAACAAATGCTAGAGAATTCGCTATATAATGCCGAAGGTGTTCAAAGACAAATGCTAGAGAATTTATTACAATATCAAAAATATCTAAAGACAAATGCTAAAAAATTCACCCAAAGGTATTTAAGGACAAACACAAAAAAAAAAAATACTAAAAAAAACTATATATTAACAAAAATGCTGAAAGTGCCCAAACACAGAGCCAAAAGTACTTAAGAACAAATACTAGAAAATTTGCTATATAATACTGAAGGTGTTTAAAGACAAATACTAAAGAATTCACTACAATATTAAAAGTGTCTAAAGACAAATGCCAGAAAATTTACCCAAAAGGTATTCAAAAGCAAATACTAAAAAAAAAAACTTTTCAAAAAAACTACATACCATCAAAAATACCAAAAGTGTCTAAAAAAAATTTACTATACAACATCAAAAGTGCCCAAGGACATGCTTAGAAAATTTACTATATAATATCAAAAGTGCTTAAAAACAAGCACTAGAGAATTTCTAAAAAGTTTATACATAATACCAAATATATCCAAGAATAAGTACTAGAAGATTCACACTACTGAACATGCTTAAGAACAAGTACTAAATATTTATAATACCAAAATACTGAAGAACAACCACAAAAAAATTCACAATACCAAAATGGCGGCTATATAGTATTAAAAGTTTCTTAGCATCAAAAGTTTCTAAAGTAAACACAACACTAAAATGCTCAAAAAACTACTAAAGAAAGCATTGAAAATATTTTTAAAAAAAGATTATCTTTTGTAAAAATACTAAAAAAATATCCCAAAAAATAAATACTATAAAAAAAAAGTAAAACATTAATAAGGTGAAAGAAAAAAAAACAGCAAAAATATAAAAAAAAAAATCAAAAACAATAATTATCAAAGATAATCAAGCATTCCAAAAAATAACTAGTTATTTATTTAAGTGAAATAAAATCATTTAATTTTATATCGGCAGTCGAATCAACTACATGAATATTAGTTATGATTTTTGTATTCTTTGATTGGTTAAAAAAACTAGAGATATATAAAAAAATCTATAGAATTAAAATAAAAAAATTTATTAAGTTTAATTTAATAGTTGTTGAAATATTTTGATTTAAAATTTTAAAAAAAAACAATTTATTTAGAATTAGAAAATTAAAAAATGATCCTTTTGCAAATGGGAAGTTTGTACTAATTGAGGCTTTGGAAAGTAGATTTTGCTCTATTAGGCTGTTAAACAAGTATTTGAAAGTAAAACCTTTTACCTCATATGATAATTCTTTGTTTTTGTCTAAGAAAAAAGAGGAGATATCAGTTTTAGCAATTTTTTCTGTAATTAAGCAGATAACTAAGCATGTGAAAATTAAGGGGTGCTTTACCTTTTATAGTTTAAGGATAGAAGGTACTATAGCAGCTATGAAAGGAGAAATGTTGTTAACTCAAATTAGAACTATAAAGAGATGGAATTCTAAAGTAGTAATGCTTTATTTATGAGCGGTAGAAATGACGAAAGATGGGGATTTAGTAAAGATGAGATTTTGAATTTTTGTATATATTTTGTATATGTGTTCTTAAAAAAGAAAAAAAAACAATTCTTTTGATGATCCTGTTTTGTGTATTTTGTAATCATGTTAGTTGTATATGGGGTTGAGTGACAAATGTAATGCTGTGAACAAAGTCATGTGGCATCCATTTGTCACAAGACTGTGACCCAGTCCCATGACCTGGGACTAGAGTGAGTGGCATGAAGGTCATGGGCATGCCAACATGGCATGCTGATAGTGGCATGCCAATGGCATGCCCAAAGCACAAATAGTCTATAGGTATGCCATTTATATATATTTCAAAATATTCCAAACAAAAAGTGAATTTTGAGTAGGATTGAGACCAAGGTTCTGGAATATTCTGAATAGTAATACAACATGTATATTATAATTAACCAATTAAAATAAATATATTTATCATGTGGTTTAAAGGCATGCCACCTGGCATGCCTGGCACAAGCTTTAGCAAATGGCATGCCATCTGGCATGCAAAATTTCTTAGCTGTGCCATATACTCTACCTGAAACTGATATTTGGTATGATGCATTTGTGATGAGATTTGATTTTGGGCAATGTATTATTTTGATTGATTTGTGAAGATGTTTTATAGTGGAAATGGTTTAAGTTGTGTGAGTAAGTATGAGATCATGATAATGGTTTTTAAGGGGAAGGAGTTGGTTTTTTGTTCTCCCTCTTTTGTCTTTGCTGCTAGCTCGGCACAAGTCTGGCTTTGTCGTTTATGCCCACCCACCTGCCACTCAGTGGGAGTTTTTTTGAATGGTGAATTTTGTGCATATTTGGTTGAGCATTTTGGGTGGCAGTTATGTTAGTTTTATTAGCCCATTGTATGGTTTGTTAGCAGGAGAAGGTTTATATTTTGAGAAGCACGATGCTAGGGATCGACTGTCACTACGTGAGCAGCAGGGCGATATCCTGTTTTGTGTATTTCGTAGTCATGTTAGTTGTATATGGGGTTGAGTGACAAATGTTAAATAATTCGATCGGTCCCGCAGTAATTGTCAGCCGAATTTAAACAATATTTATAAAAAATTGGCATGGTATTCGTCAAATAGATAAAGTTTAGAAAACTAATTTTTCTGTAAAATTTTCTAATAGAAGTTTTCTAAAAACTAATGCAAAAACCGATAAACTTCTATTAGAAAATGTTACAGAAAAATTATTTTCCTATGACTTTATTTATTGGACGAATACGGTTAAAAATGCCAATTTCTTATAAATATTGCTCAAAGTCGGCTGACAATTACTACGGGACCAATTAACATCCATATATAAATGTATTATGTTTTCATGTGACTTAAGGACGTTACCAATCCTTGGCTTGAAGGATCTGCTAGGAACGGTTAGGACTCGATCCCAAAGGACCGATTAACATCCCTAGCCTCAACCGTTCTATATTTTAGACTCGTTCACTTTTTACATTAAAGCTTTTAAAAATGATAATAAATTGATCAGCTTATTTTGACCGACCAAACTGATAATTTATGATCACTGTTTTCAAATATGCATATTGCAGTAAAATTTTTTAAAATATATATCTATTTATAATATAAAGATTTAATTTAATCACATAAATATATTATAACTAGACCATAATCGACTATTTAAATAAACAATCACTTCTTTTTAATACAAAGCTATTTTGACTAGTTAACGTCGTTCATCTCTTTTATACTTTATAAATGCGATAAGATTCTCATGAGCTTCGTCTGCACGGAAACGCAAATCACGTGACGTTCTCTTGTCAATGGATTTAGCCTGCGAGGTACATGAAATTATAAAAAATAATCAATGATTAATTTTAAGTTAATTATAACTTGATAATTACCATTTTGCGTATTGCATCAACCGTATTTTCGAGTAAAGGCAAATAACCGCCTTGAACAAAAACAGGTTCATCATAATCAAAATCTTTGTCGGCATATACGTCATATATAGAGTTAAGAACTTCGACTACACATTCCGGAGACGTTGAATCATTTTTTAAGAGGCTTAGGATATTGAACAAGAACGTTCCTATCAGCTGTTAAAATTCAGAAATTACTTAAATGTTCACAGAACATAAACATTACAATAACTAATTATATCAAACCTTATTATCATCAATAGCGTTTTGTCGCCTTGCAATCATGCCTAATGTACCAATTGTCTTTACACGCATTGTATCATATACACCTGACTCGTAGCAACAAATCAAACTGCGAATTTGGTCACCAGTAACAGGCTTGTTGGAAAAAAAAATTTTTTTTTAAATGTTAATTATGAATAAAATTACTAAAGACCTTAAATGCATACCGCATTGCCATCCAATCCTCTAGCCAAAGTCCAAAGGCATCCTATTAATGCATCCAGAATTTTAACTCTACTTTCTTGTCCTGGCTCGCCTATTCCTTTTCCGGTAACTTGGCTTCCCAATTCAAACAGCAGTGTCCATGCTTGTTTAGCATCCTCTCGATGCTGCGTAAACCACCATTTATCTTCAACATTATCTACCATTACTAAAAGGAAATTGTTAATGCATTCAATTGCTCTTAGATGCACTGTTGCAAGCGATGACGTGATTTCTGGAGCAACTGAGGGCATTGGCAAAACGTTAGGACCAAGTTGTTCTGGAAATGATAAGTGTGTTGGGTAGGCTAAACTAAAAAGTTTTGGTAAGATAATAGTAGCAAAATTATTTAATATTGGATGAATTTTTGATTGCTCATCGGGTTGATTTACGCCCATTATAATGATATCTTCCATTATGCTATCTTCTTTAACATTAATGTCATTGTCTTCTTGGGACTCATCTTGCCACCCATCATCATCACCATCTTTATAATAATAATATGAGAATGTTTAATAATTTTCATAATCAAGTTAAGCAAATTAAAATTTTTTACCTTTGGAAAAACATTCCAAGAAAATTTTTGACAAAATTTCAAGAGCAAGTTGTAAAGTCATTAATTGTACATTGATTTTATTTAAATTATTCTATTAAAAGGTTTATGATTAAAAATATAGAGTTAATTTTGTAACATCAATTATAAATATTATGGTGGTGACAAATACTTCTGCTATTGGTATTGTATATTTTGGAAGGTCTTTTGTGGTTTCCGGACATTGAGCATTATCCTAATATAAACAAATTTACTATTTATTAGTAAAAATTTAGAAATTAATATCAACATTAAATATACGATAAGTGAAAATTTACAATCTCTGAAACATTTTCAATAGCTTCGTCCGCAGCCTTATTTATATCAAGAGCCAAACAAGATATTAGTACAGGCATCAAATAATTATTTAAATTCATTATGGGCTCCGATTTGGATATAGGAAGGTCGACAACGGAATAAAGATTCGATAGAATTCCTATAAATTTCAAAATGCAGTTTTTTTTTAAAAAAAATTTTCATTATATTCAATTGAAGTCAAAGCGGTTAAAGTATACATGTCTAATACCACAGCATAAGACTTTGATAAACAACAAATGTTCTTTTGACGGAAGAGCGGCTTCATCAAGATTAATGGCGTTCAATAACGATTGCGCATATTGTGGATTCTGCTGAAAGTGAATATGAACATCAGGGTTGTCGTCCGTCAAGGTGTGTAGACATTGGCCTTGAAGTGTGAAAAAAAATACGTTATTAATGGACGTTGGTAATTGTAGCATAGTTTCGTCGTGTTTATTCACGTACAAGCAGCAATGACCGTTTGGGTGGGAATAGTACAAGACTGGATAAGACAAGACATCAAAAATGGAACAATATTCGTATTATTTATGCCTCTAAGTACTTCTTGGGAAGTTTCACTGTGTAATGTTATAAAGGTTTGTAACAAAATTATCACTTAACAAATATTTTATTTTGCAACGCAATAATACCTCAATGCCAAAATTATATAGATAATATTTTCCGCAGATTTCCATATAGTGTTTCTCGCATCTACAAGGGGATCTGATTCGGCAGGAATTCCTTTGATAATATTATCGATAACTTCGGAAACCTCGATAAATTAAAAATTGTTAGATTTCCAATATTTTAATATATCATGATGAAATCCAAAACTTAGAAACCCTTACTTTGGAAACCAATGCCATTAGTGGAGTAAGTATATCTTCTCTGTACATTTCAACACAGACTTCATGCTCACCAACGATCGTAAGGTTCCTATTATGGTCACGTGAGAATGAAATTTGACAGCTTACGGTACGGCACGTGTATTACCTTAATGTGCCGAGAGCTTCTTTTAATATTTCGTAATCATCAGTCAATCGCTCAATGAGAGCTTTAATAAGATTTTGAGATAATAGTAAACGACGAATCTTTTTGTCACCCAGTATGAGATTTGAAGAACAACTTGCAGCCCACGCACGTTCTTTAACGTCAGGGGAATATAGCTATTATAAAGGTCTTTAAGAAAAATTGACATATCCTGGACGTTTTGAAAAGGGACAAACAGCAAATTGATAATAAAAGCAAATCATAAAAAATAGTCGAAAAGCAAACCTGCTTTATTACGGGTAAAGTCTCACCGTTTTCTAACAAATTTTGTAGCTTTAAAGTATCATTTTCTTCCTCAGAATTCATAAAGGCAGATTCATCAATTATCGGATGTGACCTCATTGGGTTTGTTTTTTTTTTTCTCTCCGCTTTTCCCATTTTTTGGCATTAAAAGCCTGAAGAACACTTTAACTTTAGCGCTCTTTATCATAAATCTGGAAGTCCAGAATGATGAATGATAATCACGAAAAACGAAATAAATGATTATCTATCATGTGACATTGGATAATTCGAAATTTTTTTATTGATTTTGATTGGTTAATGACTCGTTTCGATCTTCGTAAATTAGCCAATCATATGAATGTCTTCCTTTGATAACTTTGATAATCAGTTCACAATTATCGTTATCCGTATTATTAATAAGTGATCATGTTATATGGAAAAAAATTTTTATTCCAAGAAAATGCATAGAATAACATCACATCTTTCAACATTAACTTGTTCTCGATATACTTGTAAATTTAAAACATGGATGATAAGTTACCATTTATGTAAAAGACCTCAAAGATATAAAAATTGTATTGCATATCGTTCATTTTTATACGAACCACCTAAGGAAGAACGCTTAGATATTTCTTTAGAATTTTCTACGGCTAAAGAAGTTTTGCCTCTTCTCCATGCGGTTATGACACGTGATCAGGATGCCACCTGGATGATATACCAAGAGCTTCAACAAGCACGAAAGCTTCATCTTTTATCACCTCAACAACATTCTATTGTATTAAAATCATTTGATGTTAATGGCAAATATCCATTCACCAAGATAGAAACAACCATTTTAAAAAAGAAACTCTTTTATATTTTCGATCAAATGAAAGAAGTTGGTCACGATCCGAGTGTAATAGATTATTCACATATGATGAATGTTTTTAGCAGAATAAGGTTACGTGAAATTTGTGATAGTTTGTGGATAGAGTCGGTCGAAAAAGGACTTCAACCATCAATATATTTGTTTAATTCATATTTATCTTCATGCTTACGACGTAGGGAACCTTTATTGAAAAAAGTTAATTATATTTTAAGAAATCTTGAAAAAAGTGGGCTGAAACCTAATCTAACAACCTATGCACTTTTAGTACGTTTGTATTTTGAGGCGCGAGATATAAAATCAGCACAACAAATTCTCGAGTTTGGATTTTCTACGGAAAATTATTTAGAAGTGGAACAACATAAATGGGCAATTGTTCGTGCATTTAAATGTATGATGAAAGCATATGGATATAAAGGAGACTTGAAATCAATGGATGAATGTTATCGACATATGCTACGTTTAAAAATTAAACCGGACATTTATGTTTTCAACACACTTATAAGATATTCATGTTCACATTTAAATTTACAACAAGCAAATCAATATTATGATGAAATGTTACTTCCAGAATTCAGTGTTACACCTAATGCGACGACGTTTCAAAACATTATTTATTGTTTATGTGAAAAAGGAAAAACTCGAGAGTGTTGTAGATATATAGAACAAATGAAAGAACAATTTAATGCATTACCAACAGAAAAATCGGTAGGATTAATTTATAATACAATGATGAGAAAAAAAAGGTTTGAAGATGCCAGTGCATTTGCAGAAAAATGGAAAATTCCTGATGATTGGCATCGAAAATCAAAATAAATATATATATATATATCGATTTTATATAAATCCTCATATGGAAGTATTTGAAAGATTTAAAAATGTAAAGAGTAAGTATTCTACGTATATGATATTCTATGAGAATAATTTATTATAAATTTAATATCGTTAGCCTTTGCTGATTCTATAAATTATATTATTCAGATAGTAAATTGAAAAAATATATTCTTTAAAGACATTACTATGTATATACGGCATAAGTCAGCATACATCAGCGTCTTTAATTACGCGAAAATTTATCAAAATTGCATAATGATAATATTATACAGTAGAAACATTTACTACATTAAGAATGAATTTAAACTAGAATATTTATTGAATTCTTGTAACTAAAGTTTAGATATTATCTGGAATGGAACTGAAGCGGTATTATTGTTAAATCAGGAACACAGAATCTATTGTACAGTAGACCTTGCTAACTAAGTTATTTTAGAAACGCCGGACCCAAAATCTTAATCTCAACCGCAGATAAATAATCCTTTTTTTTATACATATAAACGGTGTGATGCTACAACTAATAACATTTGTCATATTAATACGGGTTGTAATTTGAATAAGCATCATCGACAAAGTTTGGAAACTAACATATATGTATCTTAGTACCCGTTAGCCACTATTATATATACCAAATAGTGATCCAGGCTACACGACGGGGACGTCGGTACTAAAGGTAGCCCAAGGTGAAGAATAAAATAAGAAGTTTATTCTAATTTAAAAGGCTTCACCAAAAGTGCGAATCAAAGCGAAGTCCATCTTTTAATAAAGGCAAACACGCTTCTTGGGTTATATTAACTTGGATATAATCACTAAATCCTGCCGATAAATATAAAAAATGTTATTAACTGTTATTCCCGGTTGACTAATTCTTATTTTTTGGGTGCCTTAATTCAAGCTTAATAGGAAAATAGCCCCCGGCTGACAAATAGTAAAACAGGAGAATAACACTTTATTTCCCGTTACAAGGGAATAATTATCAAATATTTTCTCGGATTTTTTCGGCTCCTATTGGAGCCGTAAAAATCCGGAAAATATCCCGCAAAGGCGAGGAATAAAGGACATGGAAATTTTGATTTGTAATAATTAAAAACCCGATTAGAGCAGGTCTTGAAAACTCTGAATTCCTCATGATATGGTGACCTGCATATTTTAATTTTGGAAAACGGCTGTCAAAAACACCTCATTATGTCTGCCATGTTTCCTCTCTTCGCATAGTCATATGTGTTTCCCATGGGAATAATGTAAAGGACTAATTAATTTTTTTGACTCACTGATGTTATATATGAGTGTCGTCAAAGGAAAATCTACAATCTGGCTTTCAAGTATATTTTGTGTACAGTTGGTTATCTGTGTGCCGTCTATGGTAAATCTATCATCGGAC